GGGGTCGTGGCTGCCCACGGGCTACGAAAAGGAAAGAGAGGGGAGATTTGGTGGCGAGGGTCCCCGCCCCTCCTTTCTAGAAGGGATCAGGGGATGGGTATTTTCTACCCTTAAAAATAAACTTCTCCTGCGCCCAATAAACGCCCGGTTCTCGTCGCCCCATGCACCCAAACGGTAGCCCGTGGGCTGGGACACGGCCCCGAGTGGGTGCCAGCACCGTACCCGCCGTCGGGGCTGCCGGGACCCGCCGCACGTCGGGAACGGGGACTTGGGGGCAAAAGTTTCGGAGCTGCAGTTTCCAGTGCGCGCCTCGGCGGGGAAAGAGGGGTCCATCCCCGCACGTCCCCTTCGGGCATTTGCTCAAATAGGGACAAAATAAGGACAAAAAATTTGTCCGTCCTTCAATGCCTGTATGTATCTCTCTATACGTTTATGCATACAGAGAGAGAAAGAGATAAAGAGAGAGGCAGCCTCAGGAAACCCAGGCCAAATTTTGCTCTGCGCTCGCTCTCCCCTCTTACCCTCTCCCTGCAGATGAACGTCACCGTTGGAAGAAGCTGTTGAGATAAATCAAATAGTGACACTTTGACGGCTTTACTTGTATAAGCAATATGGTTACCATATGGCATTGTTATTTATGAATGACAGCAGAAATTGTATTACAAAGTCCACGGCGCTTTATTGGGACGCTTCTCCCCTGCCTCTAACGTTTATGTGGGCATCTCCGGGCAGAAAAAGGTGCCTCTCGGCGGTGCTGCGGCGGACCCCGGTTTTGGGGGGGTCTGCGCCGGCTGCGGAGGGGCAGGGCGCGGGGCGCGCAAAATCCGCGGCGTTGCGCGTCCCTCGGCCGCCGCTGGGGAAGGCAGAAGCACCGGCTGCCGCTCGGCCGAGGTTCCCGTCCGGGAAATCACGGCTCCGCTGCTCCTCACGGCATCACCGCCGAGAGCGGGGTTTTACACGGCAACTTCGTTTATCTATCACCTATCTGAGTGCAACTGAGAGAATAATAAATATTAACGGTACGAAAACGAGGTGCTCCTTCCTGCTGCCCCCGCCCTGCCTAGCGGTTTGGTGGGGGGTTTTTTTGGTTTGGGTTTTTTTTTTTTTTAAAAGGTATTTAAAAGTTACAGCTTTGGCTGAGATTTTCATTATTTCCCCTTTTTCTTTTACATTACGCTGCCGGTAGAGCCTGACAAAGAACTTTTGTCCCGAAGTGTGTTTTACAGAGGGAGGCTACAGCACAACACATGTGGTCTTCACGGGTCATAGGTCGAACGGCCTAGAAGTGCCTCGGATCGGCACCATCAAAGGTAACCTGCAACTTAATATCCTGTTGATGAGCTTGTTGAATTTATGAGTGTCTGTGATACAGACAACGGGGCAAGTGATTCCGCTCAATTGGCCTCTTCTTTCCCGGCTACGGACCGGCCGCACGCCCCCTCGCCGCCCCGCACCTCGTCCCGTTACTCCGGGAAGAAGCGAAAGCTGAATTTTGGGGGGGGCAAGACCCTCTCTTCTACCGCCCCCCCCCCC